TTGCTGTTCTTGATTCAGAAATATTTTTAGAAAAATTCTTTCTTGTTGCTGCCCTAAAATATTTTCAGTAGAGAAAAGCAATGTAAGACACTTGGCTATTACCTCATTAACAGATGAATCAAATAATGTGTGGTATTAAAGTATAGCTGCAGCTTTTTTTTAAGAGGTATTTATACTTTTTATATGGATAATTTATATTATCATCCACACTTAGGGCTTTTTAACATCAACTTTACTTTCTAGGTAATGTTAATTTTCTGTACCTAATGATTTGGAGATTAAAGCACAGTGCGTACTTTTGGTTGGTTTATTATTGGCTCTTAGACTACAGAAGTCAATGTTACTTGGCTACATTTTACAAGAGGCTTTAGATGCCAAAATAAATTGGATTTTAAAATTCTAATAAGGTCTTACACATTCAGTTGTCGTATTTTAGCACTGTAGGAAGTTTAACTGGAAACCCAATGAGCTGCTAAAATACTGGATATTTGAAAATGACTGTATCTGTGGGTCTTGCAAAGACCGTTACCGAGTCGTCTGTTCAGATATCACTACAGCTTAAGAGTTTTCTACAACATCATTATCATCATTGTTAAGTATGTTATGCCTGTGGGAATATATTTTCTACTGATCTCAAAACCATGTTAGTTTACATACTCAATTTTATTACTGGAACTTTAGTTTTCAGAAGCAAATGGCAACTAAGGATTTTTGAATGTTTAATGATAGCTGCCTTCAAATAATTGGGTTTTTGCAAACTATTAAAATTGCTCCCTACTCTGTCAGTTCTTCAGATGAACATGGACAGTTTTACACGGACTTCCTTGTATGTACGTAAAATAAGTAAATGTTATAAATTTCTGCAATACTTTTATGAATTTAAGCAATTTTTAAATACTGTTAAAATGTTTTATTGACTACAAAGTATTGTAAATATAAATCAATACATCTTCAAATGGGACAATATTGTAAACTTTACCTGTTTAGTGGTACAGATGAAATGTTTTTGATATACAGGAATGTTAAAGGTCTATTGACTTTCTACTGGTGCTGAATAGCATTAAGTTTGGTTTCTCCTTCCTTCCCATTTTTAAATACTGTTAAAATGTTTTATTGACTACAAAGTATTGTAAATATAAATCAATACATCTTCAAATGGGACAATATTGTAAACTTTACCTGTTTAGTGGTACAGATGAAATGTTTTTGATATACAGGAATGTTAAAGGTCTATTGACTTTCTACTGGTGCTGAATAGCATTAAGTTTGGTTTCTCCTTCCTTCCCTTTTCTCTGTTTCAAACACTAATTCACTAAGGGGGGGGGGAGAGTTACATGTGCATTCACTAATTGTAATGAACATTTTTGAAAAATATAAATTTGTTGTATAATGCATGTTTATTTTTAGCATTGTGTTATTGCATCTGGTGTTAATAAAATGAACAAATGATTCTAACGGAAGCAATTAAAGAAACTGAAATGTTCTGCTAATTACCAAAACTCTGGGGAGGCTTTTTTGTATATAATTAATAATTTTGTATTATTTGAAATTAATATAGCAATAATAGTTTATAATGAAGTGATTTTGCATTTGGTTTGTTAATACATTCTTTGTAATACATTTTTTTTCCTCTGCATCTTACAAGTTTCAGGTGACCACCTACAGTTTGGCAATACACACACTTAAAAGAGTATTTTATTAGAGTTCTGTTAGGCAAGTCCTTACGACACAAAGATACCTTAAATACATTCCCACTCTAACAATGCCTACTTTTATTAATAATTTTTTTACATTATAATGGTGCTAGCCTGTTGTAAATATTTAAATTAAGTTCTGACATCTCAACTGTCTTTTGTTTAATGGTATTCTAGTAGTTGGCTAGTGGCTAAATTTTTAATAGCAGTTTAGGGAGCTAGATCGAAAAAATTTTCCTTGATTCACAATGGTCAAGCTAAACTACTTGTAGTACATAAGTATTTAGACGTTTCTTTCACTACTGAAAAATGTCTGTCTTGCTGCATCTCTCTGGAAATCCAAAAGCGTAAAGCACGCTTTTGTGATTAGCAAAGCAGAAATATCCTGGCAGAAATAGCCACCTTTTTTTTTTTTTTTAATAGTAGATCCCATCCATGTAAGGAGGCTTGAATTTGGTTTGTTCTTTGAGGAAAATGGATGGTGCAGGAAATCCTGTGATATTTGCATGTAAGCTTATCAAGGAACAGGGCAAATTAAGAGAACATTAACTTCTTTTTCTCTCCTCTAATTTGTATTGCCCAGTGCAGTCCATATGTAGCCCTCTCAGTACTGTAGCTTTTGTGGGGGCTGTTTGACATCTTGAAGTCCGAAAGGAATGGCCGCTACTTGTGTGCCGCAGGACAGTAGTTGAGTGGCATGATGACCCCAACGTGTCCTTGAAGCATATGAAGTTGCACTTTCAGACTCTACGGTACACTTGTGGTTGCTGTCTGAAAACATGCAATCTTGGATGTTTTGGACAAGTGTGCATGTGTTGCATGGCATACTCCCCCTACTACTGCATATTTCTGCCTTCTGTTTACTAGATAGAAATATGGACTCTTACCTACATAATCATCTGATGCAGTAGCAGCTATAAAGTGCTCCATCTCGCCCCTCTTCTGTTTGAATCAGGGCTTCATCCTCCTGTAGAGATAGTGACCTCTCCTTTATGCAGGTATCCTACACCTGCTTGAAAGAGAATTATGCTGCTTACAGAATGAGAGGTAAAAATTAAGGTCTTAGCATTCCTTTAGAAAGCTGCCTGTTCCTGAAGGCAGTAGGCTGCGACTGTTATTTCACAAAGCTCTCGGCGATCTTATTAGGAGGTTATTGCATAAAACGAGATAGTGTCTGAACTTTTGTTTGCAAATTGGGAAAGAGCTCATCTTCTACTGTGGAAATCAGGAGGCTTTGCAGCAGAGCCAAGAAGTTCCACATTGCTGGAAAACTTTCTCTGTAACCACAAAACACCCTTCATTCCAAGCCAGTCTTATTTGCACAGCCCTGACCAGGTGTGGTGTTCAGATAACCAGGCTTCTTGACACAGTCAGAGAGGAAGAGGGGGCATCTAGGCAGAATGGGCACACTTGCTTGCTGCCTGTGGCAGTGCTGGTTGTGGTACTTTCCAGGTAGCCCCCATGTCCCGCTTACATTCTGGCTCATCGGAATTGACCTGCTGCAGCGTTTGTGCTAGCTCCAAGTCTTCTGTCCCCTGCTTTTTAGAACAGCAAAGCAAAGCAGCATACGGTATTGTTTGAGATAAATGATCGGTAAGCAGAGGGAGGAAAAGAAAAAAAGAAAACATTGCATTTAATCACAAAGTAGAAAATTCCTGTGGCATGTGCTACATTTGTATTTACCAACATTCAGATTTATTACCTCCTCATTCACAAGATCTAGAAAGACGTAATTCAGGACTAAAAAGTAAATTTTGCATTTTTACAGCAATACAATAAATGAAGAACGGGAAAAAATGCTTTGAAGACCTCAGCTTATTTTTAGGTGGAAGAACAGTTTCTAATTAATCTTATATTGCTATTTCATTCTTACCATGTGAGATCGCACATAAGCATGATTTTTCATGGATTTGTGTTAAGCTGTTTAGGAACAGAGCTTGCTATTACTTGGTACCTGCAGACAGCTTGGTAGAAGTATTTTTAAGGTAAGAATTTCATGATAGTTTTTACTGTATTGAGCACATGCATGGTAAGTTCTTGAACTTGGAATAGATCTGGGTTTTTTTCTTGCTGCTTTTGGGCAGAAGAACATTTTTTCTGCATGAGCCACCAATATTCCTCTTTATTCTCTCTGATGTAGAGGCCCAGCATCTTGCTGTTAAAACAAAGAAACGGGTTTCCTATTGTTTTCGGCCTCTAATGTCCAATTAACCATGTTATAAAAAGCTGATTGAGAAAATGTCACACATACGGCAGTCAGTTAAATTTAATCACTTTCAGTGTGTAGGCATTGCCAGATGTAGTGCAATAAACTCAGTGGAGTGTTGCTGCTGTTAATTTACCAAGGAGATTTACTTTCTTAAACTCTTCAGTTGTGAACACAGAATGCTATTTTAGACTCTAATCTCCAAGAACGGGTGAGTGAAAGTTTCTTCTGCAGTTTAGTATCTGTGGACAGAGTGTTTTGAATTCTGTTTTATGGAAGAACAAGGTTAGCTGGAGATGTTTGAAGAGTGACAAAAAGCAAATGGTGCCATTTTCAAAACATTAACTGGAGCTTCACCCCATGAGCCCAGGTGTTTCTTATCCCAGTGTTAGGTTTATACTGAGAGAGTAGAGAGTGTTCAAAGCACCTTCACTGGGTAAACTGGGAAACTGAAAAGTTTCTTGGCGCTTTCTGCCTGGGAGGGTGAGTAACGCCTGCTTGAGTGCAAAAAAGACACCAGCAGGGGTATAGGACTGAGAGTTTACTATTAAATTAATACAATAATTATGATATTTAAATAATTTTCTGGTAAAGCTGAAGTTATACAGCCTTTAGTTTTGTAAGGACAAACACTAGGTCTGTACATCAGTATGGCATCAGCCTAAATTCTCTCACGTCCTAAGTGGCCTTTGTTGTATTATTTCAACAATTTAATTATTTTCATTATTAAATAGCTAGCAGGGCTGCACTACACATTGTGGGGGGGGAAACGGGTCACTTCAGCGGCAAACTCTTCATCGCATGAGAGAAACGAGGTGCCTTTGCTCCGGGTTTAGAGGGCGGGAAAGGGGAGTTACAGCTTATTTCTCCAGCACTTCCAAGAGCCCGGAGGTGCCTTCATCGAGAACTTGGCTCCCGAGGCGCCGTTCACCTCCGGTCATCGGAGACGGAGAGCGGCGCGGGGGGGGAATGGGGTTGTTTTTAAGGCCGGT